TCTAAGCAAAGAACCCAATATCCTTTTGATGAAATCTTCTGGTTTACGCTCACCAATGAATATGACGCAAGAAACTGATATAATTATTGGTATTCATAGCAACCTTCTATGAGCAATCACAATTTCACCATTTTAGGATAATTAATTAAATTTAACTGTTCCTTTCTTTACCATCACTAACTTTTGAATAACCTGAAAATATTAAAATAAATTTCTTCTAATTAATTTTATATGTTTGTTGAAAAATTGTCAGTTCTACCTGTTTTCATGTTCAAAAAGCCATTGGGTATTCTTATTTTCCGATTTTGTGCTACGGATAAACCGAATTCCACTATTATATTCTTTTTCATTTTGCACACTTCGAATTGTTGTCCATAAATCTCTATTACGACTCTATAGTTTTACAATTAATAATTAATAATAATAAATAATTAATAATAATAATAATAATAATAATAATAATAATGATAATAATAATGATAATAATAATAATAATAATAATAATAATAATAACAATAATAATAATAATAATAATAACAATAATAATAATCGTGATAATAATGTTTATTATTAAAACAAAATTTTTGTGGAAAAAATTTATTTCTTTATTTTTGCTTTTTTTTAAATTTTTATTAAAATTTTGATAGAAAAAATTACTGTGTTAGTAATTAAGAAAGATCATTATTATTATTTTTTGAAAAAAATTAATAATTTTAAAAATCAATAAGCTTACTTTACAAAATTCCATATCATTTAATATTGAACTTTGCACTTTTTGAACATACTGATAAGATACTGGCATAAAAATAATACAACATAGCATTGTTACAGTACTTAAAGCAACAGCAATAAATGCGACACGTCGAAAATGTTGAATGTCAGCTTCAGTAATTACATCAGACGGATACAGATGTTGTTCTTCTTCATCTCTTGAATTCAACGTTTTCTTCCTATCACACTTTAAATCTGCCTTCATAATCATCGCATTCAGTTCTTGAAATGGAAGAAAAGAATGAATTAGCAAATGATTATTTTGTAAAATTATCAGAAGTAAATATTGTAAAAGTTAAAAGTTTTTACAAAAAAAAAAAAGATAATCAAAAATTAGAACTTTTTTAAATTGTTTTTTGCATATTACAGATATATTATCAAAAATTATAAATTAGTGATATACTTTTCACTGATAGATTAATTAAAGTATATTCGATAAGAGAGCTTATCATTCTTTCTTTTAAATTATAAATTAGTGTTCTGCTTTTTACTGATAGATTAATTAAATTATATTCGATAAGAGAGCTTATCATTCTTGCTTTTTGTTTTAATTATTAACAATTTTTTCTATAATTTATATTTGTTAGTTATTAATAAGTTTTGTAGAGAAAATAGTGCAAAAATTGCAGAAAATATTATTTAACTTATAAATACAATTAATGATTCATAATTGATAAGAAAAAATTTTTACATTCAAAAAAATGATAACAATTAGCAGCAAAAGTATCACAATCAATTTGATAATAATTATTTTAGTAATAGAGGATAAGCCGTGATAAGCTAATCGTTAGTTATGGTATTTTATTTTATCATATTCATTGCATTCAGTAATGTTTGTTACTGTAAGTAACAGTATCTTATTCTATCCTAATACAATTACAGTGATGATAATCGTAATATATTGAAAAAATTTTTTTTACTCTTTATATCTTTCATTAGTTTTTCAATTTTTATAACTTCTAATATTTACATTACGGTAAAAGTAATAAAATGAAAAACACGAACCTTCGATAGTTTGAAAAATTATTGGTATTAAGTGAATATGTAACATTCCTTCCTTAAATATCGTATCAAAGAAGAGGACAAGATGTGACAAGATATCCTCCTCCTCTTTCATTTATAAAAATTATCGTACAGAAAGACAATTGCATTTGTTTTTCTATTTTCATTCGTTATCTCTGCGTAAACATTACGTATTTTAACGGTAATAGATATTATTCATCATATCTTATTCCATCCTTTAACAATTTTCAACAGTGTAGGAAAAACAAGAAGAATGAAAAAAATGAGGAATAGAAAAGTGCATGGAATGACTAAAATTAAATAATATCTATGTTTTGTCACTTTGACCTGATTCAAATGAAATGAAACTATTGATACTAAAAGAAATTTCATTTCAAATTAATTGATCGCTTATTATTTTTGATTAAGTTTTGACTATATGAATTTATAACTTTTCCTACATTTAATATTTATGTTACTCTTATTGCTTCCTTTTCTATATAATACTTTTATGTTATTTTATTCACTTCAATATTTTTTGTTTTATTAATTTGCTTTTAAGTGCAATGTAGATTAAGGTAATTAGTAAATAATATTAATAATGCATCATTGAATTACTTAATCTTAACAGAAGCATATTCTTTTGTAAACTATTAGTTTACTAGTTAAATATTTGGTTTAGTTAATTATTAGTTAATTTAAAGTAATAGATTATTGCTATTAGATAATAGTTTGTTTTCAGATAATATTTTAATTTAAGATAATACAATGATAATTTTTTTCAGAATATTTTTCCACCTTTGTTTGACTATTTTTAACAATTATCAATTATCAGTTTAATTTAATTAATAGCTATCACTATATTGTGTTTTCGTATATCAAACAACTATCTAAAAACTTTGCTAGTAGAAGAGAATTGCTTGTAATATCTGATTTTGAAAACTTTCAAATCTTTTAATGAAAATTAAATTTTACACTAAAATTGATTTTCCACGTCACAGAAATGATAAAAGTGATTAATTTTTAAAAACCATTTATCTCAGTTTGCAAACAAAATTGCATCGTTGATTCCAAACTTAATTCCATTTCAAATATCAGGTCAAATTTCAATGGATTTTATAATTTAAAAAAAGGTGACATTATATTGCCAATACCAAGATTAATATAAAAAGCAAACTTTTAAAGGATAAAATATTGGATAAATTTTTGAATTTTAAAAAAAATATTAATTTAGAATTCACATACAGATTTCGATTAATGTATATTTAAATAATTTATTTACTTGTAATTATTAATTTAAATTAATTTATCTGTTTACCTGTAAGCATGTTGAAAGTTTTCTTCTTTGTCGTACATAAAATTATGCAATGTTTGAATTGATCAATTAACAAATTGATTTTTATTTTTTCTCTAAAGTAATTAACTTAAAATGAAAATTAAAAGTCAATTCTTTATTACAATGATCAAATTTTTTGATTTATTTGTTTCCACTCTTTGTTTTTGTTCATTTCCTTTTCGAATAAATCAGATTTCTTTTCAACAATTTACAACTTAACTTCACAATCTCAAGTTGAAAAGTTTTTTTTAAATTATAATCTTTGATTTTCAAATTAAAGGATTAGAATAAAATAATAATAAAAAAAGTTTTTAGATTGCTGCCAAACTGGACAGGTAAACTGAAACAACAACCGGAAAAGTGGAATGTAATCAATTATAATTATCGAATGCAATTAATTCCGATATTAAATTCTTTGTAAGCAACTTCAAATAGTTCGCTTCTTTCCTTCATTCTCCCATTCATTACTTCAAAAATTCCATCATTTCGTTTTGATCCAAAATTCGATTTATTATCAATTAAAATCAATCAATGTTATTTCCTGATTTCTGATTACATGACAAATTTTCCGATATATTCAACAGTAAGTAATGGTTTCTTAATTAGTCAGAATTTTTCGGAAATTTAATTTTTTAGGAAATTTTCTGATTTCATAAACAAATAATATATACCTAATCATAGTGATAGTGAAAGTAATCAATGATACAGTTCCTCAATAAATACTATGATAATTTTTGGTGTAATAATATCATAGTGATAGTGAAAGTAATCAATGATACAGTTCTTAAACAAATACTGTGATAATTTTTGGTATGATAATATCATAATGATAGTGAAAGTAATCAATGATAAAGTTCCTCAATAAATACTATGAAAATTTTTGGTGTGATAATTTCGACGGAAGAATTTTACAGAAATATTTTTGTGATAAATTCGATAAAACCAATTTTTTTTTTGCGAGGATTTTTATCAAGATTTCAATTTAAAATTGAAATTTCGAAAAAAAAATGGTAAAGAAGGACAAATGTCCTTATTTTACTTCTTGTCGGTTACTTTTAATCTTCGAAACAATGGGGGGTCATCAATGAGGAATTCTACAGAAATGAAAACTTTTTTTTTAAATCGAAAAAGATTTCGCCTTCTTCGTTCTATCCCATTTCCGCTCCCCCTACTACTACTCCAAACTCCAAAATGACAAAAAGATGGCATATCATACTGTCATGAATAGAACCGATCGCTGGTGACTTAACAGGATATACCGTTAAAATTTTACCATTAAATCAGTTTTTTTGATCTTCGATGAGGGTCATTCAATAAAAGAGGAATTGAAGAGAATGAGGAAGAAAGTGATATTAAGGATGATATTACATTTAAATAGGTAATTTGAAAAAATACAAAAGAGAGATCTTTTATAAGGGAAAGGAAAAGAAAAATAGCAATAAAAGGTAGGCGACTATTTGTGTGCAATATCATTTATAATATGCGCTATAAGAATGATAGTAATAATAATAATAACAAATAACAATAATAATTAATAATAACTAATAATAATAATAATGCCTCCTCATAATGGATATTAATTTGAGAGGAAGAATATAAAGGAGATGAAAGAGAAGAGATAAAAAAAAAGGAAGATTGAGGATTGGTGGAAGAGATTGCAAAGAAAAAAATAAAGAAGAATTTTGTTGATAATTAATTAATTAAGGTAAGATTATGATGGGATAATAAAATTTAAATATATGGCTGAAATCAAAATTAGGAGTGCTTTTTCAGGTGAAAAAACTTTGCTTTAAAAAATCGAAAAAAAAAGGAAAAGGAAAAAATGAGAAGCGAAGGAAAGAGAGAGAGAGAGAGACAGAGAGAGAGAGAGAAAGAGAGATTCTCTTTCGATTATAAATATAAATATATTCAATTATAAATATAAATTTATCCTAATTTAATGATTTTCGATTTCCGCCAAGCCATCTTTTCCATTTGCAAGACATTTATTTCGAAATTCAACGATGATAATATTAAGAGAGGTAAAAGGGCGTAAACTGCCAATGCCAGCAAGTTGAAATAGACACTGAGCGCCGATCGGTACAATGAAATATGCTTTCAGTTTATTACAATTAAACCAATTAGTCATTTCTTCATCCAATTGATGAATTATAAGGAATTCATATTCATTTCTCTCATTAATAATTGAAATAAAACAAAAAAAAAAAGGTATAAATAAAATTAATTTTGAAAATTAAAAAAAAAAACAAAAATAATTGAAAAAAACAATAATATTTCAATAAGTAAATATTTGTTAATGAATTTATTTACCTGAATAATATATTCAGCTATTAACAAAACCTTTCACCTTTTATAATATTTGAAGTAAAATTAAGAAGTGAAGATTGAAATGTTTGATGCTAATAATAAGCAAAATTTACGGATTGATAATTTCTTATATACTCAACATTATTTGATAATTTTAACAAAATGTTTTAATGCAATTGTACGGTAACTGTTGATGGTGCCTAATTAACATTTAATTATATAATTGGCATGATTAATGTGACACTAATTATCAGTAAAGGAGTAATATTATAAATCAAAAATAATCTTTCTTTTGTGCTCTATTACTATCCACGGAACAATTTATTTTTAACTAAAAAATAGCAATTTAATTGATTAGAGTAATTTATCACAGAAAATTGTTATTTGATTTGTTTTACTGATAGTAAAATAATAAATGAATGGATGAAGAGTAAAATATTTGTTTTTTAAATTAATTAAGTAAATAATTATTTAATTGCAATTAACATATTTTATTTTATCTTTTCTTTTCTAACAATTTACAAATCAAAAATTTGTTATTCTCTTCAGATGTTTTTTTGAAAATAAAAATATTCAATTTTTTTGATAGAAATTAAAATGTCTTCGATCTTATTTGTTGTTGCTATTGTTGGTGTTGTTATTGTTGCTGTTGTTATTGTTGCTGTTGTTGTTGTTGCTGTTGTTGTTGTTGTTGCTGTTGTTGTTGTTGCTGTTGTTGTTGCTGCTGTTGTTGTTGTTGCTGTTATTGTTGTTGTTGTTATTACTAATACTGCAAAATTTAGATGCGATAATGACTGAAAAGCGTTGAACAGTTTGCAAAAGGATGAAAAGAAGCAAATTTGTTGACAAACATGAAAAGGTGTCTTTTTAATCGATAAGCAAAAATTATAAAAAGGATGGATCAAATATGACAAATGAAAATGGCAATGAAATAATAAAAATAGTGATAATGCAAATACTGGCAACAACTAAGGATAATGACATATTATAGAAATTTTGTTTCTCATATTTTTTTTTTCGATAAAATTAAAATGTCTTCGATCTTATTTATTGTTGTTGTTGGTGGAAACTTTATAAGTTTCAGAAATTAAAAATTAAACAATAACTTCTATCCTTTATTATTACCGCAGTTTATATTGCGAATGAAAAGAAAAAGAAAAACAAAATATGTATCTGGAAGATTTTTAAAAAAATTTGAACCAGGTAAGGCATCGAAATATGCATAATTGACGGATACATATGTTGCTAAGGTTTAAACCAGGTAAGGCATCAAAGCATGCATAATTGACGGATACATATGTTGCTAAGATTTAAACCAAGTAAGGCATCAAAGCATGCATAATTGACGGATACATATGCTGCTAAGATTTAAACCAAGCAAGGCATCAAAGCATGCATAATTGACGGATACATATATTACTAAGATTTAAACGAGGTAAGGTATCGAAATATGCATAATTGACGGATACATATGCTACTAATAATAAATTTGACACAAAATGATTTATAATATTAAGATTGTCTAAAATTTTAATATTAATTTAAAATTATATAGTTTTGAAAAATTGGAAAAGAATTCAATAAAAAATTACACAGCATAAGAAAATAAGAACAGAGATGAAATACTTTGTTTCTTGAAAAGCTGGAATCAACAGAATAGTTTAAATATGGATGATGAATATTTTGAAATATTAAATTTTAAATTATAATATTTTAAAATATTCTTTTCTTTTTTTGGTACTAAAATTAAATAAGAGAAAATTTAATAATTAATTAAAGATATTATAGTAAATAACTATGAAGAGGAAATTTTTATTGAAATTATATGAAGGAACTAGCAAGAAAACTTCATTGAGGTCAAAAGTTTAATCATATAGTGATAAATTTGATTTAAGTATTAAGAAATTTTATTACGAAATATGAATCACTTTGTTTGATAAATTTATTTAAATGAAATAAAATGAAAATTTGTCAATAAGAATGATAATTACTGTAAGAATAAAATAATATGTAGGCACATTTAAATTATATTATATATTTAAATTATATTCTTTGGAAAAATAACGAAATAATATATATTTTGCATATTGCCTAAAATTAATGATAAAAATTAGCTAACCTGAAATTAATAACAATTTATCTTTTTTATCAATTTTAAAATAATTAATTTATTTAAACTCATTTATTTGTTTTGTTAATTATTCTAATTTTGAAACTATTTTATTTTGTTTAAAACAAAAAAGATGCAAGATAGATTGGTATATGGTCTTAAATTTAAAATATATATACGTATATATATATATATATATATACCCCTGGAAATTTTTTCCCGAGGATGCAATTTTGAATTACCTGATTTGATTGTATTTATTTTATGGTATAATATTCCTTGCATATTTCATATTTTCAATTGCTGAAAATTTGTTCAGTTAAAATTTTCATTCTTATTTTTCGTTTTTGCTCTAAATTCATTGAATGGAATAAATATATTTATTTCATAAAATTTTAAATAAAAGATTTTAAATTTCAGGTGAAAAAAAGTATTAGCAATTCTTGAATATATTTCCTGTTATTATATATATATATATATATATTATTGATTTATGATTTAATCGATAGAAATAATTTGGCTATCTAAAAGTTTTTAAATAATTTCAATATTTTTGTTCTTCGATTTCTTCTTGTTGAAAAAAATGCAACATGTTAACATCTAGCATTAAAATGTGGTGTACATTTTAAAATGTAGTAAATTAAAATGAAAAGGAAAAAAGTGATGGAAACCGTTTCATTAAGAGCAATTGCTCGAACGCCATGTATCATCAATTCGATAAGGTGACAATCGAGGAAGTAAATTTGGATTTTGGCACAAACATCATGCTAACCGGTAATTTTCAATTGGCGGTATCTATTTTAAGGTTATTTCTAATTTATTATTTATCCTCGAATGTAATCATAAATATAATTTAACTGATAATATTAATATTTTTTATCTGCAACTGTTAAAAATTTTACTTAAGCATAAAATCCCTAATGCATCTAATATCCTATCTCTCTTACTAATTTATATTTATAATTAGCTGAAATTCTTGCTGATAAAATAAGTAATTAATTTGTGATATTACGATATTAAATATTATCAATGATTAAGAGTTAAAATAAATATTTCAATTTTTTGATTTTCTTTCTAAAATACGTATATTTTTCATGTAAGAATTTCAACTGGCAAGAATTGCTATTACCCCAAATTATCAAATGTTATTTTTGCTATTATTCAAGTGTACCACCGTTATTATCACTTCAAATTATCAGATGTTATTTGCTCCTCATGTTGTTTATTATTATTATTATTACAAGTAGGAATGAATAATGTAAATATGACCTATGATTTCTAGTAATCATTATGATTTAAAATAAGCTTATTGTAGGAGAAAAAGTTAAAATTTTTAAATTCAATTTACTATTAATAAATTATTTCAAATAAAAAAGTAAACAAATAAATGATAACAATTTATCGCTGATAATAATTTATCAATTATTTGTTTCGATAAATTGATGAAATAAAAAAAAAAAGTCATAAATTGATGAAATAAAAGAAGTTAACAAATTAATGATAAGAAGTTAACAAATTAATGATAACGATTAATTACTGACAATAATTTATCAGTTACTTGTTTTTTCTCTTTTATTCTTTCTTTTTCACTTTGTTCCTCATTTTTTCATAAACAGACCTGTTTTTTTGTTTCTCTTTCCGTATTGACTTGTTTCTTTTCCGTTTGCTTATTTTACACTTATTTTGATATCGCAATAATTTTCCGAAATAGCTTATATATTCCGAAAATTTGCTAACGAATTAGCTATCATCCATAAATCATTGATGTGGCGAAGATTGTGGTTGTTTGTTATGTCTTTCATCTTTCATTGTTCTTTTATTTATTTATTCATTTAAAGAATTAAAATAAAATTAGAAAATGCTAAAATTTAATAAATATTATATATCATGATTTCTACCTGATTTTATTTTATAGTTTAAACTTGAAATATCCAAAAATTTGAAGGAATTTCATGAAAACGGAAAAATTATTTCATCATTTTATTTACATCACTAAACTTCAACCTGTTTACTTTTGAAACAAACGTTAAATTCTTGCGAACTTCATTTACACATGTTGATTATTATTATTATTATTCTTCTTATTAATATTTCATATGACGACATTTTACAACTTCACATGATATTTCGAAATTTCACATAACATGTCATCAATACTTCCACACAAACATACATCATTACTATTATCAGATTACTACACGGATAAATTATTGACATACGAAAAAGAGGAAATTAAAACAATGAAATTTTAAATGATAAACGAAAATGAAGTAATTATTGTTGTTTCACAAAAAAAAAAAAAAGCGAAATTTCAACAAATTCAATGAGAACAGAGAAAGAAAGAACGGAACGACTGTTTACAACATCTTTTGATATTTGATAAGTCGAATGTAATTTTGTTGAAGAAAAATATTTCTTCATTGAAAAATGATTGTAATTAATTTGTAGGAATGAACGGATACGAAATGGAAATTATTCATTCAATACACGGAATGTTCAAAATTTTTTAACGCATTTTATTCTTTCGAATTTTATTATTACCAATTAATTATTATTTATTGTAATTAATTTTTTCTTTTTTGTTTTATTTTCAAACTAACGTTTTTTTACCAATTAATTATTATTTATTGTAATTAATTTTTTCTTTTTTGTTTTATTTTCAAATTAACGTTACTTTTGATGATTAATTTTTGAGTTTATCAAAAATATTTAAATTTCGTTTTTGAAATTCGATTAATTATTGTTTATCAGTGAAATTGATTGATTGATTGTAAATATGTATAAGGTGTAAGATTTAGATGTGGAATAAACTATTGCTTGATAATAATAATTATGAATTAATTATTAAAATTATTTTAAATAAGAAAACAAATATATTGAAGAAAGGAGCTTATAAGAAATAATCTAAGAATTGAATTTTTTACTTTTAAATTTAATTTTCTGTTAGAGTGATATTATTATAATTAATTTTATACACAAATGAATTATTATAGTTTACTTCATTTTAAATTTAATTTAATTCGTTATAGGGAAATTCATTGTTAATAATTCTTTTATTTAAATTGCTCTTTTGTTTGAAGTGAAATTTGAATTTAAATATTTTAGCATACAAAAATATATTCATTTGTTTTAATTAATTACATAGCAAATTGTTTGGGTAAAACTTGATGAAATTTCTCGAAAAAAATTATTCGAAAATTGAGCATTAATTAAAAGGTTAAATTTGACGAATGAATGAAATGAAATGAAATTAGCAGATGAGTTTAATCGTTTGTTAATTAAAGTTTTCATCTTTTTCTCTCTCTCTCCCTCTCTCTCTCTCTTTCCTTTTTTACCTCTCATTTCTTACCGTAAATTGTTTTCCTCGGAAAATAAGTTCTTATTTATCGATATATTCATATGTTATTAATAATGTTTAGAAACATATTTAATCCATCTAAATTGACTTATTATTGTTTACTTAAAATTTTAACATTATAACATTGGCTGTACAAATAAAACATATTGCAATTAGATAATGATAATATTTATTTGCTAGGCGAATAATCATTATCAGTAACCAATGAATTAAAAGCAATTCTATCTGATATTGCACACTTCGTTTCTACTGCAATTTCTTTAAGCATATAAATTAAACAATTTTCATTTAAGAAATTTATCATAAAACTAGTTCTCCCATTATTTCCCCTCTTTAAATTTTCCATCTTATTAATCATACTAATAATTATCATGATTCAATTAAAATTTGATAAAAATTCCTATCCTTTATATTTAATGAAAAAGGTTTATTGAAAGAAAGATAATTAATTATGATACTTTAATTGATACATTTATTATATTGTTAAATAATCATTCATTATCTTTTATCACTGAATGAAAGTTAATCAACAATAAAAATTGCTGTAAATTTCCGCAAGCTTCTCCCTTTCTTCTCTTCCTCCTCCTTATCTTTGGATAGTTAGAAGTTATTAAATTTATATTCATTCAAAAATACAACTTTCATTTATATGTATATATCATACATCAATCATTATGTAATATTCAGATATGTAAGGCGAGCAATGATATGAATAGAATAATGTCATGGAATTAAATGCAAGCCAATGATCACTCTACCAACGATCATGATCATCAGTTTGTCATTTGGTGCAGGGTTCATTGAACGTAACTATTTATCTATCCGTTAAGTATGAAATATATCCCTTATACTTTACATGCTTCATTATTACTCTATCCCATAACAAAAGGATGCACTGAAAGATAGGCACCACTTTTAACGATCAGTTCATTATCAACGGAATTTCTCTCGGAAGTATCACCAGTAAATAATTCTATAAATAATCTATTTGAATGATTGTTAGATCATCCTTTCACTCTTTTTCATTCACAGGATAATTAGGTTACTTAAGTTCTATTTCAGGCTAGCCGGTTATTACCACAGGTCGTTCTCATCACTCACCTACTTCATCTCTCCATCTTTCCTCTTCCCATCCCATACTTCATCATTCCTTCATTTATCTATTTCTGTCTATCTTTCTCTCATACCGTAACATATGTCTACACATTCATAATTCTTTGCTTGCCTTCTCTTACACATCCATCTCACTAACGCGCTTCTTCATCAATCATTTAGCGCGTTTGTGAGTTCTGAATATTTCCATCAACTAGCAATCTGTTTACGTGTTTGTCGAATAATGTGACGTAAGTTACGTGTGTCCAATAGTATGTGTAATGAAAAATGAAATGCCTAATTAACGTAATGTAATGAATACGTCAAATGAGAATAAACAAGCCAAGTTAAATTGACATTAGGAAATGGTTCGAAATTTGATCTGAAATTTAAATTAATATTTGTTATTCGGAAATTTTCGGGTATCCCATCATTCTTTTCATTTTCAAAATTTTATCTGCGCTTGGTAGTGTTCATCTGGTTGATTAGATTGAGTACCATTCAGGTTGATTAGATTGAGTACCATAAAGTTATCAGATTATCGAATTAAAACTCAAGTTCTCTTATTATTTTCCTCAGTTTGCGTAAAGTTCTCTAATTGAATCGATGATAACCTCGTTTCAATTTCCATCTTCACACCATTCTCTCTCATTTTCTCTTTCTTTCTCCCTCTTCAATTCTCTGCTCATTCATCTGTTTTTCTCCCTCCTCTCTTTCCATAGTCATATCTTTCAATTCGTCTGCTCCATCACACATGCGTCATCTGTTTGATTTATTTCACAATATATAAAAGGTGCGATACAAGTGCCATTTAGGGCCTATGTCTCTTAAGGCCTGCACTATAGCTTTTCCAATTGTGTGCATTTTGATATCCTTTAAGAATATCAATTTTAGGAATTAATATGGCTTGAACTTATTTCGTTTTACTATCATTATTAATGTTACTATTATTATCATTATTATTCCTTATTAATATTATATCATTATTACTCCTTATTAATATCAATTATTATTATTATTTAAATAATGGATTATTTTATACTAAGTTATTTCAAATCAGTATAGTGCTATTTGGAAATTTTGAGGGAAGAAATTTTCGCATATAAAATGATCATATCATTATTGTTATCATTCTGATAATCAAGTGACATGTTGAAAGAGAGAGAAAATGATGATATGATAATTTTGTTAAATAAATCTATGCCATTAATAGATATGTCGAGTAATACCTGTGTAAATATATTATTCGTATACGTAAATATATTATCATCTGTTAGTAGAGGAAAACGAATTATATTTCATGCATTAACCTTTTAATTAATGTGTATATTAAATGATAAAACGAATTCCACGGGATTCATCTTTCTGTGATACATTATTTTAGTCATTCATAATTGCTATGTTCTTCTTTTCTTTCCCATCCTTCCTTCCTTCTCTCTCTCTCTCTCTCTCTCTCTCCTCTTTTCATTCTTTATAATGTTTAATTTTTAAAATATTTTTTTATAAAAGAGTTAGAGATATGAATAAGTCCTTAATGAGGATAAAAGGAAAGCCTTGATGTAAGAAAAAAAGATAAGGCCTATATGAGAGATTAATGGAAGAGATTAATTTTTGAATGAGATATCATTTGGGATTAAAAGATGAAAAATGATGGAATTAATTTCAGGTCAATTTTTCTTCTTCCTCAACAATTAACGATTGAAATAATGAAAAAGAATAAGCCAAAGATTTTGTAATATTTAAAAATTTTCGATATAGCACCCATTCTCTACTTATTATCAGTAATAATAATAATAATAAACAATAATAATTATTATTAACAGTTAATGATAATAAACAAATAAAATTGATAATGCGAAGAGGGAGAACGGAAGGGAGAGGAGGAGAGGGGAGGGAATTGTTGCATGTATAGATGAATTGAAATCGGCATTATCATAAGTTTTTCTAATTGCAATATTATATTTACGACACACACACACACACACACACACACACACACACACACAATACAGACATGCACACACACATATATGAACGCGCATTTTTTATGTGAGAATTATAATATACATCAATTCCATCAATTGGATGGAATTACATAGCGAGAATGGCTACTCTAGCAGTTTTGGTGTGTCTCGTTGTGCTATACTGAGAGCTTATTAAATGCCAGTCGAACGGATGGACGATCGGTCGGTTGGTCGGTCGACATTACTCCCAGGAATAGCGAGCAATTTTCCATGCATCATTCTTTGTCCGATAGTGCAGGCTTCCTCTATGATAGCGTTGCGCTGCGTGTTGGGTCCATGCCAATGCTCTCACGCTTCGTACGATTCTCGCCTTCCTCCTCCTATTGCTTCCGACATACCTATATAGTATATACACACACACACCCACATTATATTCAGGTATATACATACATATATATAGAGAGAGACAGACAAACATACACACAGACATACACACATGGATGAACACAGATGAGAGTGATAGAACACGGGTGTGTGCATATGTGAACGTCTAATGTATTACGCTACTGACTAAACATCTGATTTGGTCAGTTTATTGCTGTGTGTGTATGTGTGTGTGTGTGTGTGTGTGTGTGTGTGTGTCAGACGAGGAGAGAGTGAAGAGAAGGTTAAAATGAGCTTAACACGATGAATGAATGACTTAGTGCCGGAAGTCTCAATGGCAGCCGGTGATTCAGTATGAACTGAATACGATGAATGATTATTGTTATTATTATTATTATTATTGTTATTGTTTCTATTTGAAATTTTGTTCTATAGAAATTTAAGGATTGATTAGTTGAATTAATTACTAATTAACAATAATTATAAATGTTTTTTCTAAATGAATGTAAAAAAGAAGGAATGAATGATATGATAGTTTATATCTTATAGAACTTTTATCATTAAAACAGAAAATAAATGTATAATATTTAGTATTTATTGATTAATATTTCGAATAGTTACATAAAAGTAAATATATCCGGAAATACGGAATAAAATAGAGGCTATTAAAAGTTACCCCAATTAAACCGGATTAGGAAATGAAGAAAAGAAATATCAAATTTTGATGAAACTATCGTGAAGAAGCTTTTCAAGGACAACTTTTAATATCCTTCTTCGTTTCGTAGTTAAAAATTGAATTTAGTTGTGTAGAAGGGAAATGATGTATAACAGCGTCGTCATTCATACCTTTCATACTACCTGTATGAATGATACTTTTCAACATTCATAATAAATAATTGGTTAAGAGTGGAAATAGTTGGAAGGAAAAAAAAAATGATAACGTTTAATCTTTTTCATTTCTTTCTTTCTACGATGGAAAATTAAATTTTTTGATTTTGTTTCATATTTTATCTATTAGTCAAATTATAAATGATTAAATTGATAACATTAACGATCAATCATTTTACATTATTGTAATTCTTTTCAATTATCAAATTGATAACAGAAATTTAAAATTAAAATTTAAAATTGGAATTTAAAATTGGTCTGTGATCGCATAAAATATTTAGCATGAGATTAATATATTTGGTAAGATTATCATCATGTATTAAATCGATGATATTTACGATCAATCATCTTACATAATTGTAATTCTTTTCAATTATCAAATTGATAGCAGAAATTTAAAATTGAAATTTTAAATTGGTTTGCGATCGCATAAAATATTTAGCATAAGATTAATATTGATATTGTTAAGATTATTGTGAAATTTAAAATTGGTTTGTGATGGCATAAAATATTTAGCATAAGATTAATATTGATATTGATAAGGTTATCATCATCATGTATCACTTCTTTTTTTAAATTTCAACAATTTCTTCCTTTAAATTTCAACAGTTTCTCTTCCTTCCTTTCCCCATTTCTTTCACCCCGCCTTTTCCACTCATTTTGGAATTTTTGAAATATTCGTTTTGATAAGAAAAGAATGAATAATTTGTTGCAAACGCTTCTTCCATTGTTCCTTCAGCCTTTCTTTTTTTACATAGAAATTTAAGAAAAGTGCAGGAATTTTTGAATTATTTCAGAAGTTAATTTTTAAATAAAAAACACCGGTAATTAAGCAATTTTTTGTAATTAAGCATTGTTTTATTTGAAATCTTTCTTTTCATTGTATTCTCAATTTTCGTATTGTTTCTTTTCTGTTTTATCAAATTTGGAATTTTGAAAGGAACGATTGAAATTTGAACCGTTTAAGTTACAATTTATGAAGTTCGAAATTTATGCTACTTTGAAAGATTAAAGTTAAAAATACATGACACACCTCTAAAGCATTGATTGATTTGTCAAATTTGAAATTTGCAATATATTTTCTGTAAAATCTGTAATTACCGTTTCGAGTGAGGTTATTCAGGTCAAAGGGTAACAGTTGTTTTTGCATTTCATCACAAATGCATTTGGAAAATTGAAGAGTGAACGAGCTTTTTTCATTCAATGGGATTGACCTGAAAACATCGGATATTATGGTAAAATTACTGAAATTTCATCAATTTTTTCTTTTGCAACATCTTATGATACTGTATCATTGTTTTTTATTAGCATCATTTTAATTATAATTAGCATTTGTGACGTTTATCATTTAATTTTCCAGTCTTCTTCATCTTTGTCATTCCATTTCTTTTATTCCATTTTGTCAAATTTTATTAATTAATAATTCTTGCAATTATAACATTTTTTCCAAATAATTACTTATTTTTGTTTTGATCGGAAAGCTTTTTGTTCCGATTAATAGATTGATAGATGGCAGGAAGTGGACATTCCGTTTTAGTTATATTGTGTTACCTGTACTATGTAATATTCTTCACTGAAATGATAAAGAAAAAAACGAAGATAAGCGTCTAAGTAAAATTATCAGCACTGAAAAGAAATCTTGGGTGACTTAATTTGAGTAATTTCTTCTTCCTTTGTTATTGTTAGTATTAGTATTATTATTAATATCTGTACCGAAGAAATAAATCAAAATATGCGGCCTTTTTGGTGATCATTTTCTTTGAGTACACTTTATATGTCGAAGTATAAATCGTGAATAATAATTTGATATTTCGAATGTGATATTTAATTTATCAATATCCGATATCAGTATGTTTCAGGAATATTCGTTTGTATTTCAATAACCGTTTATAATTATCGTTAAATGCATTGATATGAATAATGTAGTTGTAGTATTATATTGTATAATGTAATTGCGGTATTATGTTGTTAATCTTACATAGAATTGTTGATTATATGTAGAATCAGAGAAATGTATATATGGTAAGGAAATGATGATATATGTTGTTTCATTTTCCTTTTTGATATTATATTATTGGCTATTAAGATTATGAAATAAGAATGGGAAAAAGTAAGAATTGTGAATATTTTCTCTGCTTTGTTTTCTCGTTTTTGTTGCACATTGTTCATTTTCAGATAGTGTTTCTGTCGTAATCGTTCTATCTCATTTGATTTCGCTATCCAACGATGGTAAATGCGCCATGTTTAATAGGCATCATATCATCTGTTCATTACTCTCAGCAATCTACATATTATATATATATATATATATATTTCATTTATATTTCACTAAAGATAGTCATTGTATTGACATGAACATATTATTATGTACATGCCTATATGCCTAAATTTTTCGTCCTTTTCTCGAAAACGATGTCATTCATTGATTTGATCAACAATCAGCCTTAACTATTGAGGAAGTCAGTAACAGCCAGTACACTACTGCGAATGTATCTGTCCTTGTCACTCATCTTCATTTTGTATTCCTCTAATCAGTGTACATTTTGATTTTTGTATTTTCTTCTCTCACTATTTTGATATTTAACTTTAATTCTTCCTGTATGCTTTTAGAATAGTATGTGTCTGTGTGCTTGTCTGTATGTTATTGTTGTTGATGTCAAGTCAATAGTAACAGTGACGATGAAGTGGCTGTATGTTTGGTTGGGATGGATGAGAATTGACAGCTATAGGGGACGACGTTATGTCGTATCATCTCACCTTACACCATTCATTCTTTCAGCATTGTTTGTACATGATTTCGAAAACTCGAAAAATGTTGCACATCGAAGAAAGAGACATTACGATAATGAATGACAATAAAAGGAGGAGTAAGGAGAGAGAAGAGAAAAATGAAAGTTGTAGAAAATGGATGTGAGATTGGAAGACGATCGGGAAGAAGTAAGGTATTACAAATTGTAGTCATTGGTTGTTTGTCGAAGCTTGTAACAAACCATTATGATGTACCTTTTGTCATCTCTATTCCTTCATATATTCTTTTTTTTCTTTTTTTGACTTACTTTTGGTTCGCTGGTAATGATGAGGAGATAATGATGTGATGATGATGATGACTATGACAGTGATGAATTGTTCAGGGTGAATGATGACAGCTATGGTGATGATGAATTATTAGCATGTTAATGATGATTACAACGGCAAGATGATAATGATGACGATGATGATGTTGCCGTTGTCTTTCACAATTTATTCTCACCACTATTGCTTCGCTCCATATTACTGCTTATATTTTCCAATCAAATGATCTAAATGAACAATATTTATGTAAAATTTAAACTAAACAATATCCAAAATTCAAATTTATTAGAAAATAAGATTCCAATTTTTAGTGATTTCTATCAGTTTTATTACTAGTTTTATTATAACCGCCAGTGTGTCGCATAAATATGCTTAATAAGAATGATGATGCCATAAAAGGAAGAATTCCTTTTCAGGTATCATTTCTTTCCCTTCCCATTTTTATTATTATCCAACAGCTCGTGAGATTTAGATGATTTGTTTAGATAAATCTCTTTGAAAAAATAGAACAAAATATGTTATGAATGTTATATACTAGTCCATTCGTAGTACAGAAGATGATACATTCCAGTACACGATAGATACGTCATTTTAGTTGTATGTAAGAAATTTGTTCCAAAAATTTGGGTCACTTTATTTGTTTCATTTCAGCAAAATTGTCTCGTAATTTTTTTCCTAGATAATTCCTTTTTTAAAAGAATGAGAGAGCATTCCAACATATTTCTCCTGGGGGGGGGGGTATCTATTTTTTTGATTTCCATATGACTGAGTGGTTATGTGACCTTATGTGACAAGGATAAATATAGTTAAGACATTCAAGTTCATCTCATCTTATCTATCCAAGCAAACGATAATTTATCGGAAAGTTTAATCATATTCGTTTCTTTTTTTCCTGAATCTAATGATAATATATTATAGATCAGAATATTATTATATTTGCATGAGATATTGTACTTCTTTTCATCTATCTTTTTCTCCTTTTGTTAACATCTTACGATTAGTTTCTTTCTTATATATAATAATCAATTTATTCTGCATATTTTTGCGCTAAATATTCAGGGGGTGCTCAATGATTGAGGGGAAATTCTAATTCGCCATTCTATATTTGATAACTTGTTCATAATGCCATTTCTTTTGCTATGGAAATATTTGATAACATTGCTAAAATTGAGCTGTCACTTCGTTGTCCTCGTGAAAGTTATATTTTCATAACATTATTCATTCAAAGCAGAAAATTTCAGACCAGGAATTAAACTGTAAAGGAACACGGAATACACGAAGTGAATATAGTGGAGGCGTGTGAACGACCGGGACGACTTATTTATTCCTATATAAAAATTTGAACAAGTCGGCTGTGTTGTTTGCTAAAAGGAAGAAAGAAAGGTCTCATTTTGAGGCTTTCAGGTCCCTGATTGTTTTTTGCTTCATTATTAGAATTTTTAGAATGAGTGATTATCATTAAGAACTGATGGTTTTATATTCTTCCCATTTTGATACGGAGTGTATGAAAATTTCGTCATCTTTAAAGATGATGGGCTTAAGTCATAAACATTACTATTAGCTGTATCGATTCATCAAATAAGCCTTAATCGGTATAGATGAAGTCTATAGGTAATACATGTGCTTTATTAACACGATAAATCGATCTTTTATCATTAAGAAGAGGCAAAATTTGTGTTATTCTTTGTCAGTTTGATTTTCGGCCGATTTGTTTTCATGACTTATATTTCTCTCATTTTTAATAGTCGTAAAAGTTACTATCTGTAATCAGTATCAACGGCAATCGATTCCAGAGGGTCGCTGCTTCTCAATGTTGATGATGCTCGGAAGCCACAGATATCGATGGTCCCTTTCAATAAACCATCCGTACCTCATGCAGCGGTTGGTATGGATGTCACGAATTTCAAAAGGTTTTTCCTTTTCTTTTTTATAAATTTTCGGCACATGTGATAAAAATGCGTTTTTTTTTTGAACAATTTCTCAGTTGTATATGAAATTTACAACCATTCGCTACTCCTCAATATTGATGATGCTTTAAAGCCATAAGCAATTAGAATAATTCACTTGATTAGTTACTCCTCAGCTGTAAGGCAGTTGATCTTTGCATATTTTTCCTTTCTATTAGTTCCAAAGTTTAAGAAGAAAATAGAGACTAGTTTCTTCTATATAGAATCGTAAATTGTATTTTTTGCTGATCGGAAATCAATATGTAAGGTAATAGAAATTCAAATGAACTTAGTAGATATTTGGTTACTCACAGTTGCAAAAAAGATGAGAGAAATATTTTCAGGGAAGAATTGCTTCAACGATATGTTTCAAAATCAAGATTGTCGAGCTGTGGACGTGGCTATTCATTTTCTTTTGTAATATTTGCCATTATTCTGCAGCTTGAAATCGTATTTATACCTCTTGGAGCAACTTTCTTCGATCAAGGTAAACCATATTTGCATGAGGTTCCATTGATTTTTCATTTTCTCATTAATTAGTGTCAGTTTAAATTGCAAAGAATATGGAAGAAGTTTCCTTATGAATACTTTTAGTATCGTCGTTCCGTAAAGCTTTCGATAAATTTAATCTTTTTCAATTTTGTTTAAATCTACTTATCTTGCTGCTTGTAAACTTATATGAGGTGTTTCATTTGTTTAGCAAATAGTCAGTATTATGTTTAGGTAAAATTGGATATCCACTGGTAATTGATAATCGCGCTCGGCATCATAACTGGAAACGTAGCATTGATCCACTGACCAGGACTCAACAAAGAAGCGGCGACTACGGAAGCAGCAGTAGTAGTATAACTAGTATTAGTATTTTAAATACTACATTATTGGGAAATGAAGTCGCGTTGGACAAGTGGAAGCACGCGGAAAGGTATTTATATAAACATATATTTTTTTTAAAGTACCACGAAATTTTATCTAATTATTAAAGTTTATCTCGCGATAGTGATACTTATTTCTGACATTTTCTTACTTGAACTGTTTAAAAAAGAATTACAGTAGAGATTATTAAACCATTCTATTCTGTTCAACGCTTTAAATTGGTTGCTACAATATTTTATTAGGCTGTTCAAATTTGTTTGTCTTTCTCTTTCTTATTTTTGTTTTTACTTTTTTTATTTTATTCCAATACTTTTTGATTTGAACTCATTTTGTAGCATATCAGATGAAAATCAGCAGTATCACAGCGGACAATTCGTACTGTTCACCTTCATCGTTATTCATAATACCCAGACCAAACTGTTTACGACAGAATCAGCGCAGATATTTGTAATCGAATTAGAACCTAAAGAAAAATTAACTGTAACATGTCGGGCTAGTTTACTTGGATTGGGCGAAGATATGGATGTTATGTGGTGGAAAGATAACGAATTCATAACTAATTCATCAATCCTGATATTGAATGATCAAAATTTGGTGAGCAACGTTCGTGAACTTGGAGCCTCAATTCTTTAATACAAGCAGACTTTGAGTCTAACAACGCTGTTGACCTACGTAGTTTTTCACCGGTAAATAATAAATGGAATTTAGGTGAAAGAACTGTCATTTAAATTTTTTTGTTTTTGCCCTAGAGAAAAAGTCTTATAGAAAAAAACTAAAATGCTTATGTTTTTAAGAAAATATTATTGTTTTTCTACTTATTTGTATAATTGCATATAGAAATAATCCTCACCTTATTTTGAATAACTGTATAGTTTCGTCTTTTTCAGGGATTATATCGATGTATAGCTGATGTGGCGATTGTAACTACTGATCTTCTTGACAGTTATCTTGTAAATAATCGGATAAAACGTTCGGCCGAAATGCCACCTGGGAAAGTGCTAAGTAGTGCCTTCATTGTGAAGCGTGCCATACCAATTCATTTTACCATTCATCCAAAAAAGTAATTTTTCCTCTCAGATTATGATTTCTCGATTTATTTTCATATATTTCAATTATCAGCTGTTTGAGTTGCGAGTATCATTGAAGAGAACACTGTTCAAATATTTCAGAATGATCCTTATCTCAGTTCTTTGTATTTAACATTATTTATTCCTGCAGCTTACCTATGAAGCAAAGTAAAGTGTAAAATTAATTAAATATTGTGATTATATTATTTGGTAATATGTTAATTTTTGCAGTGAAAAGAGATTGCAACACTTCATTCACTATTTCTATTTTCTTGTTACCAGATTTAATTTAACATATCCATTGCGAAGGCTGCAAACTTACACCCAATAATGAGAGAATATAGATTGAAACAGAGAGTTGGTTGCATGTCAATCTTGATCATTTTATTGACCATTTAAAAATTTGTTTACTAAATTGATATAATTGTCCAATGCTTGGACAGTGATAATAAAGTTCATTTTAATTGTTTTTCTTTTTCAGTTTATCAGTAGCAGTTGGTTCAGTTTTCCGACTGGAATGTGCAACAAGTGGTTCGTACTCTGAGCCAATTACGTGGTATCATAATGACACAAAAATTCTAGCTGAGGCGAATAGAGTTGACAATGTTCATATGTGAGTGGTTAACGTATCCTTGTTAATCAGCTTAAAACTGATTACTTATCTGCCCGTCTGTCTTTCCATTGACTTTTATCATCAAATTATAATCCTGTTCTCGGATGTGTTATGTTAATAAAAATCGATGGATTTTAAAAAGCAAAATTTTTTCAGGGACAGTTGTTTGTTTTCTATGTTTTAACCTTTTTTTTTCATAACAGTATTTTATGCTTTTCCAGACTTATTTTTATAGATATACTATTGAACATCATTCAGTATTGCATTTGATGGGAGCAAATCTGAATGACAGTGGTCATTATCGGTGTCGTAGTGGAAGTATATTTAGTAACGTAGCGGTCGTAAATGTCACCCTTGACGAGGGTTTGTGTAATTATATTTATTTGTTTCTGATTGGTGATAGTTTTTGCTGTAGTAATATGTTGTTGTAGAAAGATAGATTGTTATTCTATGAAAAGAATTTGTCCTTGACAATTTTTTTGGTTTTTTTCTATTTCGTGGAGGAAAGAGTTAGGAAGAGTGCATTTCTTGTTTCGAACTTATTAGCAAGCTCTGTCGGAGGTCCCATTATGATGGATGCGCAGAAAGTTTTGTTGTGAAAAGCTTGTGTTGCAAACTAAGAAAAAGTTTTTCTAGAAATTCAGGAAATCTGAGATTCAAAATAATGCAATATGGAATCGTAAGAAAATGGTTCGTTTTTTCACACGTCTGTGCATTATATCTTTCAGATGAACATTCAGCTAAAGGTTCGGTGATGCTAACTCATCTTCCATCAGAATTGTTAGTTCCTCTCGGTGAAAGTGTTATATTGGAATGTCTTCTGTATGATCCGCATTCAGCTTCATCGTGGCATGTTGTAAATGAATATGGACAACCTATCCACAGTATGTTATTAGGTTTGCAGGGCATGAGAATAATAATAAATGTAGTATGAGGCAGTCATCAGTGAGATGATCTAGGTTGCGATCACTCAGCACAGCAAGGTGATGATTGGAATAATAGTGGACCTCATTAAAAAGTTCAAGATGATATCAGCATTTTAGGAATTTTTTAATGAGAATTTCAGTCTCAGTCTATGTATATATATATATATATATATATATATGTAAATCTATATATATATATATGTAAATCAGTTGGGGCAATTCAAATTTTATATAAAAGACATTAAATTAACATTTTATATTACTATTGTATAATTGAATCATTCAGAGAATACATTTTATCTGAATTTCTAATGTTAAAAAGATCAAAAAAGAGGGACGAGAATGAGTAATATATTTAACCACTTGTGGTTTTGAGATTGCTCGATACTCTCAGTCAACGTTTGGTGCATTTATTTGTTTATATCGCTGTTGATTTACAGAATATCAAAAGAATGATGAGAAAACACGTAGTGCAATGATAATACGTTCAGCCAGTACGCAAGATAATGGAAAATATACTTGCATTACCTCTGGGAAAACAGTTCGGCAAATTTCAACATTTATCACAGTTCAAGGTCGTTTGATAAATGCGTATATACGTTTTTCTGTTGTGAAAACCTTAAAATAAATGCGTCGCCTTTCCTTTCTTTGCCAACCATATGCACAAAATGTAATTTGTGTAACGTTGCAATTATAAACCTATACCTATATAGCATTATAATAAGTTCATGACAAATATCACATAATGACATTTCGAAATCACTCTAAGGTAGATGCTCTTGAAATGAATAAATTTGTTTGAAATTTCGTTTTATAGTGTGGCTTTCTTAAAAAAATTTTTGGAATATGGTACGATTTTGATGTTAATCTGCATCAAATTTAGTGGCACCGTTATTGTTGGTCAAACGTACGGTACGGAGAATGACTGGAATGGTTGGGACAACAATTCGTCTTCGCTGTTCGGGATCAGTTGAACCGTATGATACATCGTTACAAATAAATTGGTACAAAGATGGTAGAAAAGTGGTACCATTTGGGAGAGCAAAGGTAGTTTTTCATATTTTTCAAATGCATTTTATAGATTTCAATATCGGATTTCACAGTTACTCACATTTTAGAGTTAGTGGACTAGTCGAGCAAGTTACAGATTGTTTTTAAGGTTGCTGGGCATAGAATACCCTTATAATGATCACGGTCGAGGATATTATTTTTTCTTCAGTATTTTTATATTCTGATTGCTATTTATATATTCTTCAGTATTCATGAGAAAAATTGAAATTGTGGGATTTCTATACAATATAACAAAAATCAATAGATGGAAGATTATGACGCTGACATTGTTTCTTGCTTCTAAAGAAATTCACAATCTGTTCTTAAAAAATTTCCAAAAAATAATGGAATATGGAATTTAACAAGATATTATTGTTGCGTAAGACTTTAGCATATTAGTCATTATGAGAAAAATTATAAAATTGTTGACTCTCATGAATAACGAAGTTGTTTCCATTTCCATGTCAGAAAGACGATGTTAAGTTTCCCTCATAATTCACCGCAATCCGCAATTTTTACCTCCTGCGATGTTGTACCATCTTCAGAACCCACTTTTTCAATCTTCTTCACCACCTCCATACCATCGACAACTTTCCCAAATACTACATGTTTTCCATCTAACCAGTCTGTTTTTATGGTACACAGGAAAAACTGAGAACTATTCGTATTGGGACCTGCGTTTGCCATTGACAGAATCCCTGGCCCAGTATGTTTTTCGATGAAATTTTCATCGGGGAAAGTTTGCCCATATATAGATTCACCCCCGGTTCCATCACCGTTCGTGAAATCACCTCCTTGACACATAAATTCTGGAATGACTCGATGAAATTTGCAACCTCTATAATGGAGGGGCTTTCCAAGTATACCAATTCCTTTCTCACCGGTGCACAAGCATCGGAAATTTTCGGCTGTTTTTGGTACTATATCATTGAATAGTTCCATCACAATACGTCCTGAAGTTTTTCCACCGATGATAATGTCGAAGAAAACGTGTGGTCGTCCTTCTCGTTTTTTCATTTTTTGTTTTGATTGCCGATTGATATCGTCCTTTTCCGTTTGTATAACGGCTTCATTCTTATCACCTGCAGCTTTCTTTGATTCCATTTCATTATCATTTCTCTTATCTGACTTCTTATTCTTTTCTTTCTCGGTATCACCAGCTGTATGAACTTTTTTTTCCTGTATGCACATTTTCTTCGGTTCTGCGAAACAGATGTGCAATTTTATACAATTCTCACATTTACTGACTGTGCAGGACAGAAATGATAGAACTGAATTGGTTGCTGTCTGATTAGCAAATGACACCTTTGTGATGGAAACATCCTTTTATAATTCTTGATTAAATTTATGCAAATTATGTGAAGACACCCTATCCTCGTGATCCGAACAAATTCGATCTTATTCTGGAATATGAATAGGTAGAGAGCACCATTTGTGTAATTCGCTGCATACTTACTGCAATGCCATAAATTAAAAAATGAGGGCAATTCTTACTGTGAAACATTTTGTCTTCTGTTAAATGACGAGATTCATAAGTAGAATTGCAAACAATTCTGTCGAATAAGGCTGACTGTCTTTCGTTGAATTATTTGGCATTACTATTCAGCAATTTATAGCATATATCGATTCAACATTGTTGCATATATCGTTTTTTTTTTTCAATTTTATCACAATTCAAAAGTTACTGCAATTACACCATAACCTTACAAGATTAGTGTGAAAAATAAAACATAATTTGATGCACATGTTATTGAAGTAGAAGTGCAGAAAACTTCGTGTCCTTTTTTGATCATATCAACTAGATAACTTGAAAAATAAATGGAAAAGGTTTGTGGGAGTGACATATGCATCATTTTATGAAATAAAGGTAGATTTTATCGTTCATATTTAGCAGATTCTATCTGAGATTGGGTGAAAATACCATTTGAAATATTCTAAAAGATTGATAGACAACATCCTATATTTCCCGTGGAAGTTATGAAATTTATAGTCGATTCTAAGATCTGTTAGAAGGATGATAGCGGATCTACAGTGCATATTTTGCATAATGTATGCTGAAATTATAATATGGCGCATATGTTTGCCAGTCATTGATTCCATATAATGAAGGTATTATATTAAAAGTTAGTCGTAATAACACATTGGTAAGAAAAGCATTTAGGAAAAAAACTATTGTCGTATCAAGTTTATTCATTGAACTTTGCGGAAGATCCAATTAATTTTTATTCAGTTACTGCCTGTGGAAGGCTTCGTGTCGGAAATTACTGTCAATGAAATGGGTATAAGTATGGTTGGATTCACCAAAGATTTGCTCCTTTCAAGTGTGCAACAAACCGATCAGGTAAATTTATTTCTTACTGATGATTCCTAACTGCCATCTTTATCACTTCGCATTTCTCATGAGGATATAATTCAGGGATTATATCAATGCATTGTAAGCAATGCTATTGGTGAACGAAGTATGTTCATCGGTTTATTGGTTATGGCTGAAGTTGACTCGGTAATAACAAATCTCGAGGTTTCCGTCGATCACACAAAGTAGAATTTTGATTGCTCCATTTGTTATCGGATGCTGTGATATTTTTTTCTTTTACAGTCATTTCTCTCAATCAGTAAAGCTTAATTCGTAAACCATAACTGATGGTAACGGCATTGTATGCGATTGGTGACACATGAGAGGATCGGATGTTTAATATATCAATTCTTTGTATTAAGTTGTTATTGATGGTAGCGTATAGTTAATTTATCTCAAAAGAAACTTGTCTTTCAGTGCACAGTTCAACTTAAAGTGGCATTTACCGCAAACAGTGGATTATGTAGAGGCTGACCATGCAATGTTTTTATTGAGCTACTATTTATCAGATGGCGAGTACTTTTTAATTTGAAAAAGATCATATAGGGGATACTTTAATAAATCGTGTCTTGTTGATGGTTATCCTTTACATATTGATATCTATAACTTAAACGATTGCCATCCTGATTTCAATTCATCAGCGTCATGTGTTTCGTATTATCTCGTTTTGACAAAATTCGATTCTGAGCGGTAGGACTTGTTTGTATCGTCGATAAATCAGAATATTTCATAGATCGAATGGAGCTCTCAACTTTCAGGTGGTAGTGCAAATAGTGTACCATTGCGCAGTGTTCGTTGTGCACCCGATAATTGGTGTGTTGCTAAATGCTGCTCATCGAATTACATATTTTTTCCTCGACAAAATTATACCTTTCAAATGTCATTTTTCAAAACGGGTGCAGTCGGAAAAATTACACCGCTTTCGGAACACGTAACAACTCTATCCTGGGATGGAGGTATCCTTTATAGAGTTGAAAGAGCTGATACACTTTAATCATCTATATTTACGCAGTCCGTAAACTACCAGTAGGAAATTAAAATCAAAAGCTGAAGATTATTTGTTCAGTGTCATGATATATAAACTGTCCTTCGCGATTTTGTAAATATTTCCAATGGACCTGCCCAAGCAAAAATAACCAAACCCATCTTAGGAAGTATTATTACATTAATTTAGTATGCTAATTTGATCTCCACAGGGATCTTTATGATGAGTTTCTTCAAGTATGAGATAACTAGTTCAATTTCAGTATCACAGAAAGCTATGGAACTTACAATAAGTAGATCAAGTGAAGAGACATTGGAAATTTCGTGGGATCGACCGTCGATTGATGTAGCAAATGGCTTCATACAGAAGTGATTAATATCCTTGCTTTGAACTATATGAATATTATATATGTTCTTAATAATTGTCGAGGAATTTTTTAGTATACATAGAAGTTCCTTTTAATTCATAGGGAGCTGATGCGAAGGTAGTTCCTATGGCAAAAGCTGTATATTTGTGCATAATTTCAGATATGTCATCGAATACTACGAAGATTCTGAACCCACGCGTCAAATGAAAAGAAGGGATATTTTACCAAACTCAACATATTGCCTTTTAAATGGTATTTGATTTTAGCTATCGACTTTGTAATCTTGAATTTGACGGCTATTAGCTCTTTAAAGTTCTGGGATCATAGATATGCTTGAATTTCGGGATGAAAACCCAAGTATCTTCTTGCTCTGATACAAAATCTTCTTAGCGATCTATACTAAAGCTAGCTACACAGAGAGAAGGTAGCATCCGATTAAGTGATAGAGTGTTAACCCAGAAATTTCACTTCAGTTAAATTGGTAGCTTAATACATAGTTGATTATTTAGAATATTCTCATTCATAATGCGATGTAATGTTGCAAATATTAGATTAATGGAAGATCATTAGAAGATAAGTGGAGAAGTTTTAGGTTATTTTACTTTACTGGCATGGCTAATTAGACTGCTCACAATGAAGGAAAAAATAGTTTCATCATGAATTCTGCAATAAATCACGTTTGATGCCCAAAACATTGATTTATAAATAAGAAAACATCGTCCCGATTATTTCACTTGTGGGAATTCCGACGAATATCTTTCTTGAAAAATTCTTGCAGGTATAAAATCAGATGTGATATATCGTTTCCGAGTTATCCCAGTGACGCGTCGTGGTCTTCCACCTGATATATACTTGAAATTAAATTCAAATTTCACTTTCATTGGCTATTTAGTGGAATCTGTGGATAAAAACTTTCATCCCGATATTGGGTCGTTACCGATTGATATCGAACAGGTTACAGCTGTTTTATATTCTTTTCTAGTTGGTCCGATCAGAAATCCTAGTTGATATAAACTGTTCGATCAAAGAAGAAAGAAAGAAAATCTCTTTTATTTAATCGAATTCTTCTCTTATAAAGTTACTTTGCAATCTCTCTGAAGACAATGGAGTAGATCTCGCATTTTAAACCACCAGAGCATTGAGACCAGGGCGTTTTTTTCTCTTTATTAATTCATATTTTTACAGAGAGGTAGATCAGTCATCATTCACTGGGAAGAAATGTGGAAAACCTCAAATTTCACTTCGCAAGATCCAGAAAATCAAGCAGTTCTTATCCGCTATGCTCGTTCTGATATATCACCATTGAAAGAAAAAGCGGAAGAAGGATTATTCATCAATGGAGCCATGAATCTAACTGAAAAATTTGATACGGTATATTTTCATTTTTCCCCTTTTTTTAACTAACAACACATGTTATTGCTCAATTATCCAAATTACTCAATTTTGCAAATTTGGGTCGAAAATGGTAAATATAAATCTTATGTTTAATTGATATTCATCGGAAATTTAATTATTGCCATGATAAGGTAGATACTTGAAAAAGGAATAATAAGTAGAGAGTAAGAAATTCGTTTTGATATCGTTTTGATACTTTGTTCTTCTAAAACATCACTTTTAGGAGGAATATGCAAAATATGCGATGTAACAATCTTTAATTAAATTTTTGCGGCCTAATTTCAAAACCTAAATGTCCTATGTTTACATTAATGGTTTCTTTTCTGGATGTTTTGGCCTCTCTGCAGTATTATCGTCTACGTATAATTGATCTTGTTTAACAGTACCAGTGAATCATTAGCATTTCAGTCACGAACATATCAGTTTTGTAGCCGTCTTTATGATGGTCTTTTTTATGGTCCTGACTTTTGTCGTATATATCGTTTACCACCAACAGTGTTCGCTGATATATTTAGTGGTCTTTCAAGTGGTAATGGTCTTCCGAGGCCGGTATTATGCCATAATCGTAAGTTGTTTTTCGATGATGATGTAAATGAGGATTTGTTGCTGAGGTACAAAATTATGCCAACATCTGAATTCATAAATGGTTACTGAAATTCATAAATTTATTAATGATTGTTCGTGAAACTTAACTCATATATTAAATGATATATGTATTTCAATCGAAATAAGTGATAATTTGATTAAATGATGATTTTCAAAAGTAGAAAAAGAATGCAGTTGTGAACCATCTTACGAATTCGGTGATGCAATGCGTGTAACATGGGATTGGCCGATAGACGATCATAGTGCGGATGAATTCCTTGTACATTATACTTTGAGTGACAGTATTTTTCCTGAAGATGACAGATTGGTTATTACGTAAGTTCATAGTTTTGATTCTTGGATTAAGTAATGTAGATTGTGGAACTTAGTATGTTTTTGATAATAGGCACAGTTCCACGATTTCTGATACATTGGATTGCATTTGTTCTTAGTTTTTACAAGTTATCTGGTAAGTAAGGTAAGAAAACAGATGTAATCACATCTCTTTATTAAATTACTTGTGATGGGGATTTCTTGTTTTCCGTAAGTTAACAAAATTGCAGCGATGAAGCATTCGCAGATTTGCCAAGTCTTCGATCTAATACAACGTATCGTGTAATGATAGAACCGAGGAATAAAATGGGCGGTGTTAAAGGTTCTTGGTTCAATTGTACTACTCCTATTCGTAAGTTACTTTGATATGAAATTAAATTATTTTCCTATCTTCAATTTGGAGGAATCGTCTATGTATGATCCATTGTAAAAAGGAAATTGAAGTAAAAAGGAAAAAAATATTAATGAAAAAAGTTGTCAATTGTAATGCCTTGCAGTAAGACAAATTCCGGCACCGACAGGGGTAATATATGAAGAATTGAATGCCACAGCCGTCCGAGTATCTTGGAATCCGATTCATCCAAATCCACGTTGGAGTACGCCTGTTGGTTATGTGATACAGGTGCAGTCGTCATCAACTTCTGTATCATCCGTAAAGGATATTCTTGGTATCTTCTTTATTTTGTATAAATTCTTTTCTCATTTCATCATATTATTATGTAATGATTTTGCGGGCTACTCAAAAGATGCCTTGATTACATAACTTGTATAATTGCTTTGTTTAGCGGATTATAGGTAATATTTTGAATAATTGGACAATTGTTTCAGTTGATGGAATTAGTGCAGCAAGCTACGTTATAACACTACAACCAAACATGTTGTACACTTTTCAAGTGGCCGCACGTTCGAGTACTGGTGATTTGGGACAGCATTCCTCTCCCTATCCGTTTGCACCATCACATACCGGTAAATCTGATGGAGTAGATGTTAAAAAGACGAAAATATTTCCGAAATCGAGTCGAGAAGGGATATTAATTGGGATTGTTTTGATAGTTGGCTTACTAACATTGTGTTTCGGCGGTATTTGTGCCCATCTAAGGTAATAAATTACTCTCTTAAATTTTCTGTCTATTTCATCAGATGTTTTCGAGACAATTTTTTCTTTAAAATTTTAATTTCTATAACCTTTCACTACCTAACTTTTGTTTAAAGGATTCTAGACAAAGATTAGATTTTTGAAATGTTGTGAAATGGAATAACACGTGATGTTAATGAGAATTTCGCTGGTTAATTTAAGCCCATCCTCACTGGAATAATTTTACCTTACCTGAAATATATTTAAAACGACCAAGTGCATAATTTCAGTCTATTTGGTAAACATTTGATTACCAAATTATTAAAATCCGAATATGGTGCAGTAAGTAGGGTATAACAAAAATTACAATGATGTGAGCGAAGGAAAGTTAAGAAATCTAGAGCATATATGCGAAATGTTGTCCCTTATCTTAAACAGTTTTGTATTTCCAGGTTAAAACGACGTAAGCTTGAAATGGGCATGAATGCTAATGCAGCTAATAGAGGAATAAATTCATCATGCAATAATAATACAAATGTGAGAGATTATTTTTCTTTTTTTGTGTATGCCTCAAAATTTTCTGAAATCATCGCCAATTTAAGGATAAACAGCATAATTTTACTTATTGAAGTGCAAAATGTAAAATTCCACTTTTTGAAATGTCAATTCGCAAACGGTGTTCTCGTTGCCATGACTGTTAAAAAAGCTGTTCATTTTGACATATTAAACCAAAACAAGTGACAAAATATATTTTATGCAAGCATTAATAAAGGGATTTTAAAATATTAAACTTGGTGAGGAATTTGTTTTGATTGAATGGTTTTGTTTTATTTCCTGTAGTATGAAATGGAATCACTGATTACACGACGGCGAAGCGAATTGATTGATACTGCTGAAAGCAATGGTGTGTGGAATGCGCCAAGTGATACAGGGATGCGTAATCAGTTGAATCTACCAAACAGTATATCAAATGAGGTAGAAGCGATATATTTAGATACGAAGGGTGGTGAACAGGGCGCCTTACCAAGTGGACGAGATAAATATCTGAGGTAAGGTGTAATTTACATGCAGAATTTTGAGCTTTTTTCAGGAGATTGATTCTTGTCTGATTAAAAATTCGATCTCTCGATCATCATATTTGTTATTCTAAAACGGACATGGAGTAATTTTAATTTACTGACAATAATGTAATCGAGAATCACGTTATTCATTTAATTATGATCTAACTGTGGAATTTAATTCTATGATTAAAGTATTTCTCGCAGTTGGTGAGCTATTTTGATACCGTTTTTCGAAAAAAGTTTGTTTTTAGATTATTGAATGATAAAGAGCAACAGCGATTCAAGGAGTGCTTTTTATTTAATGGTTTATCAAGGCAATCATATGTCAAGGTTTGCCCTCAAGTACATTTTTTCATGCCCATATTTGGTGCAAACGTTATATTAAATTGATATACACGCTTCGACGGATTGCTCGCTAATAATTCGTGTTTTATTGTCATTAGGTTGTTATCACGATTACTGAGTCGGCCGTTTCTGCAGGTCACTTGTTATTGTGGATTCTTCTGAAAGAACCTGGAGTGTTTTTTTTTTACTTTATCATTTTTTACTCTATTTGTGGATTGAAGTTCGATTGATTAAGGATTATTGTCTTCCTCGCTATAATGAGGATAAGGTTTGCTTAAGACCAAATCATGTCATGCTTATTTGTTGCTGCTATCTTTATGAAGTCAAGATCCTGGACCGATTTTTAAAAAAATGAAAGTCGAAAAAAAGAAAAATGTGTTACAAGGCAAGCTGAGTCAAAACAGGCGTTGCCTACATTGCATGTGTGTTATTTTTCAGAACCACATATCTTGCAGAAAGAAGACGAGAATTGTAAGCCAAAATGAACCATTCGTGATTATGGCGAAAAAAACGAACAAATTGCTGGATTCGAAATGGATGCGTGCAGCTTGTGGTATCTCAGATCCATGGAGTGGAAGCTTGCCATCTAAGAAACGATTGTAAGGAAATAGTTTTTCTCTGTATGCAATTTAACCGTTCTTCTATACCTCTAAATAATCTATATTTCCGAGCTGTATAGAAGTCCTTTCAACGAAGGGCATGAAATCAGTCAGTTATTTGATTTAACACGCTCAGTTAGGTTTTTGGACTTGGATTGGCTACCATCATATTACATGGCATTTACTACTTATTGCTTTTTCATTCCTCTCTCTTTTTTAGGTTCGCAATTCTTTTGACGGACGAACAGTTTTTCAGGGTGGGAGTTGATTCTCTATCAACAAGGGCAACAAAGGCATGTTACCTAATGACAGGCCACATATCAATAAGCGCTTTTGAGATTAGCATTATGATGCCACATATATTATCGAAATTGACTGCTTTGTCAGATGTAACGCAACAGAGTGCAATAAGCTATATAGAATCGCTAGATCAAGCGACTTCTTACACCAGTCTTATTTGTCCACGATCAACTTCGGTACAGTCACTTTATGAGGTAATTGTTTGTGATTACTTTACCATAATCTTTTGTATAGAAATGTTTTTGGTATCTTTTTGCTAATAGAGTAAGTCGGTCTCTATCAGTATAAAATTAGAGTTGAGATCATTAGGATTTTAAATTTGCTCGGATTACAGAAAGCTTAATAAGTTGTGAAGAGAGAACAATGGATAATTTAATTTCTCCTTTTCTAACATTTTTTTGACTTTTATACCGAATGCTCTTCATGATCCGTTCGAAACTTCAGCAGAACGGTTTTATCAAGCGAAGAAATAGTAATGTTAAGACAAGCGCTCCTATTACGACTAGTAATTATATGATTTATCCATGCAACACTCATTCCAGTCAATCTCTGTAAGCATGAATTTTCCTATTTTTCTAATATGTAGGTATTGTTTTGGTTATGATACCAGCATGTAAGGTATTATAATCAAGACGATACCTACATATTAATGTTATAAATGTTGTAAATGTTTTTGCTCATAGAAATCATCGTTCTAAACCCTGATTAGTTTTCCTGGTAATCTTAGTAATTGTAAGATAGTAGAAACCCGAAAAATGGACATTTTGTGAAATAAATACGTACAAAATAAATTTATTTTGTGGTTTAATTTATTTTATGCGTATTTCTGCTATAATTTTCAGAACTTGGTACGATGCTGGATCAGTTGAAAGTGATTGCATTATGCGGCTACCTCGTGATGCATCCAAGAAACACGGTAATAGCAACAAGGAGACAACGGCTTTTTGTTGTTCATCAATGCCGAATCTCACTGATTCGGGAATTGTATATGATGAGATGCATTCTCCTCATCCACCTCCTCTTTCACCGCCTTCATTGGTCAATAAGCATTTGGAAAGATAACCATCATTATTATCATCTCTACAACACCTCCCTTTATATTATCCTCAGGAAGAATTCCTTTGCATAGCACTTTCCAATATCAAATTGCTCTTTCATCCATGCAACATTTTATTTTATTTTATTATACCATTTTATGTTAACATTAAGAAGCCCAATTTTCATCGAAGCAAATATTATAGGTTTTTTGGTGAGAAAAAAATCCTGATGGAAATATCGAGAATTTTGTTTTTTTTTTTTCGTTTTCTGATGTGAACTCATCTATGTACTCTCGTTATCTATCTCAGTGATGATTTCGAATGCCATCAAAAGATCATACTGCCAATTTATTCCATCAATGTTCATTTATGGTGTATTCATATGTACCTATCTGTTTCTCTTGTATATATGTATACAGGATGTATATCTTAAATGACTGTGTTAGTGTAACTGATCCTTTTCACCTGAGTGGTGGGAAAAAGTAGGAACGATGTTTCATCGTTAATGATTTGAAGAACTTCGAGTTTTTGGACAATTTAAAGAAAAAGGCAAATTAACTATTTGTAATTAAAAAATAACTGTTCGAATTAAAATCTCTAATATGATAGGGGGAAGCAGAGAAACAGAGATTAAATGTGGACTATAGCGTTGGGGAGAGGAATTTAAAATACGATCCCAAGTGAATGATGAAAGAGTTGTGCTGAAGTTTAATAGAGAAAAACAGAAAGACAAAAATGTTTAGTTTAAAAGCTTTCTCAATTTCAAGTTTTTTTCCTTTTAAAAATCCGTGTATGTACAGTTGCAATTTCATCAATCGTCTTAGTATCGGGTTTCATTACACGCACTGTATTATCATTACAACTGTTATCTTGTTGAGTTTTCAAGTTTTTGAATTAATTATTTTGGAAATTTTCAAATCTATTCATCTGCCTCATTCTTGTAATCTGATCCTTTTTTTTCTTCATATTTCATTAGTACACATCTTCCAGCAACAAGACTTTCTAGCTCCTTCACGTAAACACTTTCATTGAATATTTAATACAATCCTTTTTCAATTTGTTTTTGTATTGATGATAATTACTTTGGATATATTTGAAATATAAAACACGATATTTCATTAGCACACATATATTTATATTAGTTTTGTATAAATTATTGATCAATTCTATCATAATCTTCATGTTGTATAAAAATGTATACCTTATTTATGTCTTCTTTGCTTCCACTACTTTTTCTCCTAAAACAATCATTGATTGAAAACGGTGAAAATGGTTTGCTAAATAATAATTGCTTAGGTTGCTAAATAATTTTTCTGTGTCATCAGATGAAATTTTAGAAATTGTCGATTTTTCGTCCGGGATCTGGAACCTAATTTTAAGTTTTTTGAGTTTCGTTGGTGGTGGAGCTTGGATTTTTCTGAAAACGGGCGAACTGTTGCACTTAATTTATTGTTTCTACTGTAAGGTTGAATTATCTTTTTTTGCATTGTATAATTTTCCATTGATCACGTGTTTTGCTTAGTTGACGTATGTTATTAATTGACAGAAGTTTAAAGTTAGAAAGTAAAAAAGTGGTAGGATGACGTATGAACGTATAATATTTCTTTGCATTTTCAGAGAGGAAGTGTAACTTTTGTTCGTTCCTTTTTTGTTAATTTCATAATTCTTGTCGTGCCTTCTCACACAAAACATTTGAAATTTCATATTAGATTGATGAACATTTGTAATTTCGACTATCATGCAGTGTACTCACTGCTGTTTCCAACTTTCGAATTTTTGGATATTTCTTTTGATGTTGCGGTACATTTTCTATGATTTTGCAATACTTGTTTATATTTCCCTTACAAAAAGGACTTTCTTTCACAAAACTTCATTAATTTTCGCTTTTAGAAAAATTCACGTTAATTTCGCTTTTAGAAAAATTTTGCAATTTAAAATTTAAAATGTGAGAAGTAACGGCAGAACAATTTATGGTGTTCTTATGACAGTATCATAACTTATTGCTTGGTCGCTGTATACTTCACGTCTCATATTTTCATTTTATCGAAAATTTCTATTCAGCATAAGGTTGAAGTTTTGAATGAAGGATGAGGAGAGGAACAAATTACAGATGAAATGTTTTCCTGATGAATTTATTTAGAAATTTTTGATAAAATGAAAATATGAGACGTGAAGTATACATCGACCAAGCAATAAGTTATGATAAACGTTTCAATTATTGGATTCATCAATATCTCTATACTGCAATTTGCTTATATGTATTTATTTACATACCGATTTCATCAAATAAGACGGTAGAGAGTGCTCTTCGATTTATCTTTATTTCGGGAATTAACCTCTAAGTTATTAGAAATGGTGAAAAAGAATATTGTATATGATGCTATTAGTTTATATCCTCATTAAAATATTTTGAAAGGAAACCTCTGAGGTGATGTAATCAATATTGTTATCTTTTGTAAGTATTTTGTATAGTTTTTAAAATATTCAAGGTAATATGCTCCTGAATCGTTTTTGTGTCATTTTACACATTTCTCATCATATTAATATCTTGCTTTTTTCTGTAACATAATACTGTATATAAATACATGTATACATTTATGTATATATTTTGTTTGTTTTTGATTTTGTTTTGTTTTGCTCGAAATAAAAACGAACCTCAAATAAATGAAGTTAAAAGAGTTTAGTTTTATGATAGCTCGAACAATTATTTATAAATAGATGAATTTTGAGGATTTTCTTTTTCATCCAATTATTTTAGTTTCCTTATTTACATAGTTATAGAGATGAAAGTTGTGATATCATATAAAAAGACATATTTAACTTTTCAATTATATTGTAAAGATGTAAATAGTATCGTAAGAAAAATCAATATAGTATATTAAAAAATCTAGAAGAATCAATATATTTGATTTGATAATGTATTACGAGTGGTTTGAAAAGTATTAGAATAAATGATTTCATTGATATATGGTACAAGGGAGCGATAAATGATGATATATGTATATCACGTGGAATGATAAGGAGTAGTAATGATTAGAGTTCAGGAGATTTCTTATTTGTATATAAACACTTATTCTTGGTTTCTTTCGATAAGGACCGTAGGGCGTGCGTCATTCAACAGCCATGCTATACTCATATTGTTTATATTAATAAGCAATTGCTTTTATTTATATGTACTTGATAGTTAATAATGTGAGTTGACACAATAATATCACTTCGGATGATATCATTCGCGATAAGAATACTTCCTTGACTTTCTAACCTTTAATACTAACTATATCAATTGATAACTGGTGACTGACGTTATTAAGGCAGAGATACCGAAGAAAGAATTGTCACATCTGTCGCAAGTGATATTATCCGAAGTATATAGGTGCTGATAAAGAAAATGATATATAGATATAGTAAAGCACTTGGGGGAATTCTGCGGGAAGGCGTGTGTATTGGGCTGTTGATTTTAAATCATGCGTTAAGGTGATATATGTAGGACTTCAAAACTTCAAAGTGAAGTTAAAATATGGGTGAGAATCACTCATAGCAATTTCCAAATCGAATTAATAAATACAACAATTCTTTGAATGATCCATGAACTGTTGCTTTAGTTTTGTGCCACACCTCTCATTCGCAATCTGAAATGTCTCTCAAATAGCTTATATAAAATTATATTAGACTTCCAAATAAATCTTTCCGCTCATCTAGGCGTTCATACGTAGAAGATAGTAATTTTTCGACATGATTCGCATAATTTCGAATATTATATAATTGCTTACCGCAGCAATCAGTTTCTAAAGAAGAAGATATAAAGGTTATGAAAGTTTTTAAAACTCTGAAAAATAGGTTGCTGCTTTTGTGGGACAGGATAAGTTTCCTGTCGAAAAAATTTATTTTGGGCAACGAAATTCCATCATTTAGTTGTTGACTTTATTGCACCTAAAGTGATACTGACTGAAAGAAAACAAAAGAAGTATAAGCTTACTATGGTGACACACGATTCTATGATAACAAACTAACAATTTTGCAAAATCAAAATAAAAATACTGCTAAACAATTACCGGAAGAGACAGTAATATGACGAGGCAATTCAAACAGGATCGGATCAAATAATGAAAGAGTGAAATTTCTAATGAAGTTAAAGCTGAAGAAAAATTAGTGAATCTAAATTATATGAGAGGTGTTAAAGAATTTGTACATGTTTCTATGTTTCACAAGCAGGTTTATTATACAACATAAAATATTTTAAAAAATAGAGAGAAGATAAACGGAGTCAATAAAAAAAATTATAGGTTGGATGAAGTTGAGATAATTTAAATCAAAAACTGTCAAACTCATGAAAAATTAAAAGAATTATGGAGGTATAACAAAAAATTCGCCGCGAATAGTAAGTGTTTTTGCTTTGCGAACATTATTTATAAGATTATTAAGCATCATACATAAACGAAAAAGAAAACAAAATTCAAGAAAAGACACACTAGGATGGTTATAAGATATATTTCTAAAATGAATAAAATAGATACTAAAAACTAAAATATGAAACATAGTCGAAAATTAATTCTTTGTGTTTCAATAATTACATGAAACACGAAACACTAAACTTCAATATGAAAACACGAAACAACAAAACTTATTTTTCAAAAAGCACGACAAGTAAAGAGGTAATAGCAAGCAAAATTCGTCGTAGAAAACTTAAATTTTGAAATCTCTAATTTAAGTTTATATCCCTTAAAATAAATGCTTAAAGAATTCTTTTATCTTATAAAGAAATTCTAAGAAATATAGTCATTTAGGCTGAATAATAAAATGAAGAATGAAAAAATATTAATGTTAAATTCCGCCTCCTGAGCGTAAGACTGACACTGGCATTGGATCAAATTCATCCAAATATCGTGCCAGTCGACTCTGTGCTATTTGTCCACCTTTCAATCCACTGTATAACTGAAATGATCACAATGATATAACAATTAAAAGTTATTTTTTCAGCAAAAATCAATCTCCTTCTTTCTCTTATCAAAAACGATTATGCATAAT